CTATACATGCTGACATTCACAACCTTGAATGTTGTCCAACAATTGCAAAGGTAAGCCAAATATATTACAAATATACCTATTTTCATTATAGGGACTTAGAAACTATACGATTAAATAGCTGCCTTGCTTTCTTTATCCCCCAGATGCGGCCACATTTTCACAGTGTAAGTGAAATAATTCCACCATACCATTCTCTCAGCAAAGCACTCTGGGACCCTCTGGGGAGAAGGCAGATACATAAATATAAGTTATTATAATTATCATAATTCTTATCTGACTATATAGCTATGGATTCTTTTTTAAAAGGCATATAAATAATAAAAAGACAAAATGATTAAAAGACATTCAAAATCTCTCCACTCTCTGGAAGACTTAGAAAGGAAAAAAAATTATTTTAGTCACAAGCCTGTGACTGTCAGCTGAAGTGTCTCAAAACTACTCACACTGGCTTGGTTCCCACTGATTGAATGAAACCATGAACTGACTTCTATGGGTTGATAAATCAGAACCTGTGTAAGTGATTTTCGAAGCTTATCTGTGCAATTTCAGTTCGATGCAGACTTCTACAAAAATTTCCCTCAAAAAAAAGTTCATAAAAATATTAACTATCATGAAATACCTTCCTGGTTAGCTCATGCCACTGGGAAGCGGTTGTTATTCTTACATTACTAATTCTTCCCCGAATTAATCAGTCATTGTACATTAGAACCAGCAGCTGGAGTGTTCTGAGTGATAATGAAACCTGTAACAAGGCATCTTCAGCCGTCTTTTCGAGACAATAAGGGAATTAAAATTTCAATTTAAATGCAGAGGTTTGAAACACGCTTCACTGGCAAAATTACTTCAATTAATGTGAGTGGAATACAAAGGACAGACTGCAGAAATGTGATGCAGCAACCAGAAATTATGTCATTAATGTGCTTGCATCAACCCAGCACAATGACTGCAAAGGTCTAATTTAAACCGTACATATCACAAAGCTACAGGCTACACTATAAATCAAGTCTCTGATTTCGATGTGACGGATGCAGGCTCCTTGTTGGATCACATTTAGCTTTTTGTAAGCTAACAGCAGCTGTTTACCTTGAAGAAGGAAACAAAAGGCCATGCCTATTTGCAGACATTGCCAGTCATGACAATTTAATTATTTTATGCAGTACTCAGGTTATCGCATCAAAAGAACTAAATATCCTATCCAGAAGCCAAGTCTAGAGCTATCAGACCAGGCGAATGGTGAAGTGGGAACTGCAGGAGCTGACAGGAGCCAGGGTCACCTCTGATTTAGTTACTCTGGATTTATTAACCTGACTGGGGATTACATTACTGGGCCTGTGCACCTGCCTTAAAATAAAAATGCAAAACCTTCTGTTAAACGAATCCAAGGAAATCAGAGGGTTTTGAAAAACTAGATTATTGTGTCTTCATTGTCCTCTGATATCTTTTAGCACATTTCCATTTGGACCCTTCAGATGCCTTAAGTAGATTTTACTTCTACCACCACATAACCTGAGGAAAGGAAATGTGATTATTTTCTCATATGAAGTCCACTGAAAGAGCAATTACAGACCTTACTTGTCACTCTTATAAACAAAAGGCTAAATTGAAGAATATTTCTGACCTTTTAAGCACACTTAAATCCTATCTCCCTGAAATCTTCACTGTATTTGAGGATATACGATGCCCCAGATCATGCAAAGCAACCACCTCATCTGGAAAATGGGGATGGTATTAGAAACCTATCTCCAACAGGGTTATTGAGAGAATCATATGTGTTAACAAATGTAACATACTTAAAATGGTATCAGCACACAGTGAATGCTCAAGACACATTAGCTATTATAATTATTTTTGTTGTTTAAAAAAACACACAAAAGATTTGAAACTACAGAACCATTATAAAGCAAATAAACAAACAAACAAAAAAATGGAGGAGAAAAATCAGAGCTTCCAGAGAGAGAATAAAATGCCTTTTTTCTGTTTAGTGATAGGAAACTCTTTCGCATAGTTACCCGTCTAACGATCTGTGAACTCTGATGATATGACTATGGCAAGTGCAGGGTAGACAAAAGTAGGTAAGATATAGCCCATGCCTTCAATGACTACTGTGTAATATAAAACAACAGTATTATATTACAAAGAAACACATACGGCTTATGAAAACAAAGCATCTGCTTGTGTTAAGTATTCTTACCAGAATAAAAATAAGTATATATATTTTTAAAAGAAAAGTATTTGATTCTCTTGGACATTCAGAGATGATGAAATTTATGCCAAGTCATAAAGAATAAAGAATCATTTTCCAGGCAGACAGGATTGGGATTAGTTTCAGGGAAATGTATGATCAATTAAAAAAGAAAAATCTATAGTATCCCTATAGAGCAGCAATAAATAGCTAGAAATTGTAATTAACAAAAAGCCATTGTTTTAACAAACAAAAATATGATACTCAGAAATAAAACAAAAAATATATAGTCCAGTATCTCTAAGGAATGCATTATTATAAAGAACATAAACAAACACTTCAATAAATGAGAGACATATCCTGTTCACTGAAAGGCCTGCATTACAACGATAAAATTCTCTTAAATTTAATCAAAATGCCATCACACTTTTTGTGGAACTTGACAAGCTGATACTAAAACTGATATGGAAGAGTAAAGTGCCAAGAATAGCACAGACAATTCTGAACAGCAAGGTGAGAGAAAGTCTTCACCTGCTGTCAAGATATATTATAAAATTATAGTAATTAAAACAGCATGGTTTTGTTACAGATACAGATGAGACCAACTGAACAAAATAAAGAGCTCAGAAACACCCATGCATATGTAAAAACTTGGTATGTGACCAAGATGGCATTAAATCAGTAGGGAATGGGTTCAATAAATGGTCTGAGCCAAGTAGCTATTTATATGGAAGATAAAATTAGGTCTCCAGTTCATACTATATATGAAAGTAGATTCTAAATGGATTAAAGAAGAAGGCATAGGAGATTCTCTTTATGACACTGGGCTAGAAAAAAAATAAAAATAAAAATCACATAACGGAAAATAAATGAGAAACTTTATTGCATTAAACTTTAAAACTTCTTCATAACAAAAGACACCATAAACAAAGTAAAAAAGATATTCCACCAACTGAGAGAAGACATTTACAATCCATCCAACAGATAAAGGATTAGTATCTAGAATATATAAAGAACTACAAATAGCAAAAAGGAACTTCTGAGAAGTGCATCTCATACACTCAACCCTTTTCTGAAGGTGACTATTCTTCCTTCCCACCCCCCCAACCATACAGTTTTAGTTGGAACTGACAATTACAGTGCCCAAGCAGGCCCAATCCAGATCCTACCCCTGTATTTTTTTTTTTTAATCATCACCTGAGGATATGTTTTCATTGATTTCAGAGAAAGAGGAAGGGGGAGAGAGAGGTAAACATTGATGTGAGGAACATCAATTGGTTGTCTCCCATATGAGCGCTGATGGGAATCGAACCCACAACCTAGGTATGTGCCCTGACCTGGAACAGAACCTGCCACCTTTTGGTGTACAGGATAATGCTCCAAATAACTGAGCCACCCAGCCAGGGCCTACTTCTGTATTTTTTAATTAGAAAAAAAGATTATTTTCCTCTGCAAAGCTGAAGAGATATAGGCTACAGCCTACACTCCTTCTTCTCCCCAAACACCCAGACCCCACCCACAGTGGAAGAAACATCTACAACAGCACAATGAAGAAGACACGCAAAAGAAGATATTCCACATGCCTGTCCTTTTAACAGACTGGTTACATGAGTAAAGCAATTCTTTTACCTAAGCTGGAGCTGGATTTCTGTACCTTGCAACCAAGAATTTAAAGACGTATTTAATGAGATTCTTAAGAAAATAAGTCAAAAAAAAAACACCAAAAAACTATTCATTATTGATTAGCTCTTTAGTAAATAAATTAGCACTTAATAAAACCATAAAACAAAAATCTGAAATCCTAAAAGAACAAAACACAGAAATAAATGCTAACAACCTATTTTTAATATATGGCACTTATTTAAAAGCAGGCCCACTACAAAAAAAAATGCTAAATATATTCTCTAAGCTTATCTACTCTGATTGCTGAATCCTAATCATTTAGCACATACACGCATCCTAATGCTATACCAAGAGGAAAGCTGAAAGGTGACTATTTTTCTTTTTGGTCAGACCACCCTATAGTCATTATTCAGGAAGATGTCACTATGAACAAGATACTGAAAATGGCCAATTCTTTTGCCACTCCCAAGAGCAGACCATGACTAACCTCCTTCCACTGTGGCAACTGACTATTTATGCCCATCACGAATCAGGTTTTAGAACAGAATATCATGGCCCATCTCACCTCTAGGCTACCAACCTTCCCTAAAAGCTCCTTACATGTGTATTTTCATTTTTTATTCATCTTCTTGATGCTCAGCTACATGCACCACCAGTTGCCACCTTCTCTGAATTTTCATTTCAAATTCAAAAAGTGGCAGACTAGGCTAACATAGAGGCTAAAGGCGAGGCTGTGGAGTACTCTTGCTTGACAAAGGTACTTCCAAAATTTCTTTCTTTCTTATCAATTTAAAGGGAAAAACAAAGCCCTAATGTAAAAATTCCTTCAAAGAATTTGTGGAGCATCAAGTTTATAAATCTCCCCAAGTTCTCTTTCATGCACGTTTCATTCTTTAAAATAGGATTCATTTACTATCTTCCTCTGAAGCTAAAACACCTCTCATTACTATTCCAACATGATTAAAGTACTGATTTCTTACCATTGTTCCAAAGGCAGGCAATACATAAATAATAATCTCCTCCCCATTTCAAACACTGAATTTAGGAAGAGAACCAGCCAGGCTTCACCTGCAAAGGCCTGAGAACCCCAAGAGGGCAGTGTGTAATGTGCTACATGAATTACAGAACTCAGAGAACAAAGGGAGTGCTTTGCTATCTTAGCAGAAACGGCCATTAGCTCAGGCTGTTCCCTTACCAGCATGTCGGTGGCGCTGAGATAGTGCTTGCTGGCCATGCACTGTTCCAGCTTCTGAGGCACCTGCTTGATGTTCTCAATTTCATCCAGCAGGTTCAGGACATGCTTATGTTCGATTCCTTCAATCCACAGTTTCCGAAGCTCATCCCTTTTGCAATGCAACAGCATCTTGCATGAAAGCAGATTTTCTTTCACCTACAATTAAACAGATTCAATCTTGGGTCATTCCAAAGTCTTGCCAGCCTTAACCCATATCCAGTTAGTGTTCTTTGTTGGTACCACTGTAAGTAACAAATCCTCATTCACACGCCCACTTATTTCCCTTGGTCAGTCGCTTGCAAAATTCTAACTCTGATTCTGACACCAACTCAATTGAGTACATCTCTGTGTCTGTATTTTCTCTCCTGTAAAATGAGAAAACTACTCCCAACCTACCTGTGAGTGCATCTAGAAGAAATTACGTAGTATATAAAGCACTCTGAAAATATGAAGTACCGCACTGATGTTGACATATCCAAAAGGAAATGGCTGATACAAGAGTCTGCCTATTATTTCTTCCCCATTCTTTCTTGCATCTTCCCGATTCCACTGATAGGTCACTTGGTCCTTCCTTCTAGATCAAGAACTTCAGCTAAGGTTTACAACCGAGGAACTGACATTCATCGGAACTGAGTAAAATGAAGAGAAGACCAGTTTCCAAAAAAGAATAGACACATCCAGAGATAATCTCAAAGTAAAAAGAACTGGTACATACCAAGATTTTTTACCATGTATTTTGATTTTTAGATATTAAGTAACACAATGGCAAGCATTCTCACAGATGTGCATAGTGATCAGCACAGGCACAGCCCAACAAACAGGAGGCGGATGAGAGGAGCAGGGAAGGGTAGTCACAATGTATGCACGTGAAGAGTGTATTTACATTTTCTACCCTAATGAAAAATGACCTCTCACAATTCACAGAACTACTTCCATATACTTTTGCTGTTCCTTACATGTATTTTTATTTAAGTTAGAATTTAACACTTGTGTACAGCTTTGTATTTGGTTTTTCTTTGAGGTTCATCTCCAGTGTACCACTTGATGAGTTTTAGTAAATGCCTACACCTGTATAATCCAAACCATCAATATACAGGTCATTTCCATTATCCTAGAATGTCTACAATGTTTCTGATAATTAAAAATCTATTGTCTTTCACAAGATCTGGAGTGGTGTTGCACATAATGACACAATAATTCTGGGGATTACGAAGCTAAATTTCAACATTTTTCCAAGAAACATGGAAAATATGAAGATAGAATGCTAACTTTAGGAGGTTTCTTGAGAAAGCATCTCATCTATTCCTACAACTTTAGGACAACACCTAAAATATACTTTTATGAAACTCTCCAATGTTAAAAAAAAAAAAAAAAAGCCCTTAATAAGGAGATTTTGTACTCTCTTAAAAAGCATAATGGAATAATTAAGTAGCTTTGGGGTGTGGAGGGTCAGAAATCCCTTTGAAAATCTGCTGAAGACAGTCCTAATTACCTGTACTCCTTCCTGCAATCCCACCAAGGTGGGATTTTTAAGTATAAACACCAAGAAAAGAAAGCAGAGAGGAGAGAATAATAAGAGATGACAACAAAACTTTGGAAGCTGGCAAAACAATGGGTGGTGTGTAACAACATTAGCAGAGCAGAGCAATCAGGAAAGTCTTAGCCTGGACTGGGGTTTGCTATGACTAATAGGACGCTCCAAGAACACTGAAGATAGGAACACAGGGTTAAAACTTTCTATAAGGAGTATTGTAAGCCCTAGATCATCATTAAACCACACAGAGAGGTAATTCACTCCCCCAATAATAGCCAAATAGGTTTATGATATGAAAGAACTGAACCAGAAAGGATATAGACCAGTAAATGCTGGATAGAAATGTACTGGATAGAAAGCTGGAAGATGAAGTCAAAGTGGGTCTAAGGAACAGTAAGATCCTTGGCCCCTCTAGACCCTCAGCCTCCTTCCAAGACTGAGTCCAGCAACACTCAGCTTGACTTTTAGCCCCAACACAGGGAACTTATGGCTTTTGCTGGCAAAAGTAACCAAGTGAGAAAAACCTATAGATGGTGACATTTGAAGTTTCATCAAGGAAATTCCCGAGTCCCTACCCAAGAGTCACTAGACAAGCCCCGTAACGTGCCCTGAGCTTCCTATCAGCTTCGTAGTGCCTCCCTCTTACATACAAATAGTTAGCCAAGGATCACCAGACAGTCGAGGAAAGTCTGTAATATGGAAAGATAGGAATCAAAACAAAAGGAAAAAAGTACAGGAGGGAAGTGGGGGATGAACTATGCAGGAAACAGTTAAAAAAACAAACTATAATTAATATCCTTAGGAAAAATGAGAGGATATTACATCAAAGAAAAGAGTGAAAAGCAACTCTTCAAAATTAAAAAATATGATAGAAAAAATCTAGTACAAAGATTAAAAGATGCCCTTGAATAAATATCAAAAGAACACACCATAAAAAACAAGATATAGGTAAAAAGTAGGTAAAAGAAAATGAGGCATTGAACTAAGAAGTCCAATACTTGCCAAACAGGAGTTCCAGGGAAGAAAAAAAGAAAAAAATGCAGTGGAGGAAAATACCAATGAAATAATAAAAGAACAAAAGAATGAGCTTTCAGATTGAAAGGCACACGAAGTGTTCAAGACAACGAGGCAAACACAAGGCCCAAGCCAGGGCACATCATTCTGACATGTAAGAACACAAGGGATAGAGAGAAGTTTGTAAAAGCTTTGGGCGGGGGAGTCATACAAACAACTGTGAATCAGCAAGCATATCAGGATGCAAGCTGTCAAACAATAAACTCCACCTGCACCATCTCTCACCAAGCTACTGAAGAATGTGCTCCATCAATACAAGAGAAAAACGGAAGAAACCCAGGGTACAGGGACAGGGCAGGGGTGAACCAATGCAGACCAAAAGCAACAGGATTATTCAACCACTGACTCCAAGAAAACAACAAAATTACACAAGCAAAAAGAGTACGCTGGATGGCCTAGATGTAAATATTTATGTAGTTATAATAGAGTAGGCACTATTTAACCGAAAACTAGGAAGCAACTATATAGAGAGGATGAGGAAAGACATGGTGGGGTGAGGGAGAGAGTGGGAAGGGAATACATCCCATTTCCCACAGCTGAAAGTTCATATGCAATGTCTAAAATAGAAAACTAGTATAAACACATTACTCAGAAATATAGAAATACAAATATCTGAAGAGGAAAACTAAGAATAAAAGTCAGTGCCTCCGAAGTGCTGGAGTTGGAACTAGAGTAGGATAAGGTGGGGGAGTGCTGGTTTTTATCAGCACTTATGATTTTACCTGATTTTTAAAGTCATTTCCAGATCCTCTTGGAGTTCTTAGTCTCTCAGTTAAGAACTCCAGCTATTTAATCTACTGTATTTTAAATCTCAGTTAAAATCTGTTAGAATATGATTTCTGATATTCTACTCATATCACTTTGGTTCTATAAATCTCAACTTTTTCCTCTGTAATTGTTACTATGGAAACAGTTAAAAGTAAATTTTATGTCAGACAACACCCAACTAGGCTCTTGATCAAGAGAAACTTAGAGTGTCAATAAATCTTGGCAAACTCCTTCCTGATTGGAAAAAGACCATTTATAGCATTTCACACTAGTATATACACAATGGAATCAGCTCGCTTCTTACTGTTGCTAACTACATGAAGGAAAACTGAAAAGGACAGTAGCACTGGGGGAGGGGGACAGATGGCATCAAGCTGTGTGGAAAACGAGCATCACTAAAATTATCCCTTAAACCAGTTAGTTAAGCAAAGCTGCAGACATAAGAAGCTATAAGAACTTTTAATACTAAACTGCCCTGGGGATCAGGGGTTTTTTTTATTACAAAGTCAGAGCTACAAAGAAATGTTATTTTAAAAGTTGGGGGATGGGGATGATACCAGTCAGCAATAAAAGGGAAGAAATATGAATCTCAAAAACATGCTGAGCAAAAAAAGCTAGGTGCAAAAGGGTACATACTGTATGAACTTCTAGAAAAGGCAAAAATAATTTATAGTTATCATTTCAAATCAGTAGCTGCTTCGAACAGGATGTGGGGGTGATTAACTGCAAAGAGGCAGGAGGGCAGTGGGGTGACGGTACACATTCAGGGGTATACACATTTGCCAAACTCACTGAACTATACTCTAAAAATACTGCATTTTATATTATGTAAATTATAGCTCAATAAATATGATTTTTTAAAGAGGGGAGAAACAGGGCTATGTCCATCAATGAATAACAATATCTAAACATGAGAAAGGCAAATTATATACATTTATCTCAAATGCCTGTTTTACTTTTATGAATGTGTCAACATTTTAATTTCAATCTATTTATCAGAACAATTAAAATTTTAAATTGTGTTACTTTGCTTCTTCCTTAAATAAATCCATGAAGAGGCAAGTTGTTCAAATCATGACATCAAAACCCAAGCAGAAACCCTTCCTCAAACACAAGTTTCCTCTGCTTCCTGAGGATTCCATAACTTCACAATTGCTCCTCACCACTTTTCAGCAACAGGAATTTCAGTTTCATATACAAGAACTGCAAGTCACTCTGATTAGACAATCTGGGAAACAGAAGATAAAGAGAACAGGGCTCAGGAGGTTACAGTAAATACACATGTGAGGTGATACGGACAGCAGAGTAGTTGAGATTTTTGCAGCCCTGCCTTGGGAAAGGTAGAGAGAGGAGGAACACTACCTGGACCTCTGAATGACACTGTGGTAGCATTTGTGAGAGAAGCGGCAGAAATAGCTGCAAGAGAGGCTGAGGGATGTAGGCACAGGGGAGGTGGTGAAGTGTCAGCACTCTGAAGTCCTAAAATCAGAAAAGCACTGAATTTGGATCAAGAATAAAGGGTAAATGCCTTTGAGTGTGCATCTTATCTGTAAGTACAACAAACGTGCAAGCACCTCGCTAAAACAGTAAACTAACCCCCTAAAAGCTCCCCATATATAAGGGATAGTAAATTAAAATTAATATAACAAATTCTTCTTAATTCTAAAAGCACAAAATATAGTGGTATTTTCTCTTTTTTAATAGTAAAAATAAATCTACATATTAGTATTTCATGAGTACTTTCCTGATGTTAGTGTCCAATCCATTTTTTTCCAAAATCTAATACAAAGTACGTAGAAGAATGAACTTCAGAAACACTGATCACTATTCTCTTTAAAAGTCCTTTATAACTATAGGTCATTCTTAAATTACCCTCAAACTTATTCCCATGCTTCTATTCTCTTAGTTTTTTTAGCTACCATTTTAAGGTCTTAAATTGTCTGAGAGGCTCCACTCAACCCTTTCCAAGGGCAATACTTAACCTTTTCAGTTGCAGAGTCTGGATACGATACGCAAATAAATAGACACTGCTCAACTTAATGGAAACATACCTCATAGTTCCCGTGACTGCCTTAATGCATTGCAGACTCCTGCCTAGACCTTAAACTACAGTATCTCATTATTGCCCACTGTTAGCATGTCCATTTCTAGGCGTCCTTCCCTTTCTCATACAAGCAGCTAGGATTTTCCATCTTATATTAGGGTTATAAATAAATTCCTACAAAACTATATTGCTCTACTGTGACTTTATAAATATTAATTAAGGTTATTCCTCCATCTAATTCTATCTTGCAAGGTATACTTCCATATAAAAGCCACAAAGTTGTTTTAGTTAAATGTCAATGAACAAATGTTGCATTATTCAATGATTAAGCCCTAACAACTTCACTTGAATGATCATGTATAATTATTTTCAATTACAGGCAAGAAAAATGAGTTAAGAGCTTGATCTAGTAGCAACAAGGCGGCCAAAATTGGGATGAAACATAAAGTGTTTGTACACATGTCACAACAGAGCAAGTATCTATGTTTTCCCATCAGCCTACCTGCTCCTGTGATAAGCACTGGATGGACTACATAGTATCTTCAAAGAAATCTAATATCATCTCATCCACCCATTACCCCATGGAGGAAACCCTCAAATACCAATAAGCATCCCTGAACAGTCTGAGTCCTCAACTTGTATCGACCATATTAATTCATATTGGTGCTGCAGCTACTACTGTTATTATATGACCAACTGGACCCTGAAGTTCCCTAATGCAGTAACATCACATTTTAACCACTTTTACAATATATTCAACACTAATAGGACTGCCCAAGTATTTTGCTTATTATCCACATTACTTCACCTGATCAATCATACATGGTATTCTATTTGCCTTTTTTTTAATCTAGAAAAAAGTCCCAAAAGGACCTGACTAATGTAAAAAATTTGGACCATCTGGGAAGAGTGTCAAATCTGTCAGCTCATATCATCCTCGAGGACATAGATTCTACCAATGTAACATAAATCCACACATGAAACTAATACCAAAATGGGAAAGTAAAAAGTTTTTCTTTTCCCATTTTTCAATCACTAAAGACTTTTTTGAAAAGAGTTTTAACCCTTTCTTGCACTTTCCAATATTGAAGCTAATTCATAACACAGAATTATGTGACTTTTTTTTCCTTGACTACTGATACAATAAACCAACATTTTCTCTCTTGGTTTCCTTTGCTCACAACTGCACCATACTTAAAAATGAGGATGGTGCCCTGGCCGGTGTGGCTCAGTTGGTTGGGCATCATCACATGCACCAAAAGGTTGCAAGTTTGATTCCTGGCCCGAGCACATACCTAGGTTGCAGGCTCGATCCCTGGTAGGGGGCGTGCAGGAGGTAGCCAATGGATGTTTGTCTCTAACATCAACGTTTTTCTCTCTCTCTCCTCCCATTCTTTCTCTATAAAAATCAATAAACTATTCTTTTAAAAAAAAATGAGGATGGTGAACAGACTGTGGCTACTAAAACATGTGCAATTATCAAGATGAACCTCCTTTTTTTATGTTTTTATTGATTTCAGAGAGAGGAAGGGAGAGGGGGAGAGAGAGAGAAACTTCAATGATGAGAGTCATTGATCGGCTGCCTCCTGCACACCCTTGGCTGGGGATCGAGCCTGAAACCCGGGCATGTGCCCTGACCAGGAATCGAACGCAATCTTCTGGATCCTAGGTCGATGCTCAACCACTGAGCCACACCAGCCAGGCAAGATGAGCCTCTTTTTCACTCTGAGCAAACAGTCTTTGGGCAAAGATGCTGTCAACTCAGAGAGACAGGGAGTCAAGGCAGAAACCACAACAGTGCTTCCCTTGAGATTACGACCACATCCCTTCAGTCAAGCGAACTAATCAAAAAACACAAATACCAGAAGGTCCTTCACCCTTATTGTGATTACCCAAGGCAAAGCCAGAAGGTCAGCAGCTCTCTATACATTCATTTCTGATCCCTCTTGTGCTGAGTCTATTGGGTCAAAATGGGCTATAGTTCATTTTAAATCTAGAGCAACTGATATATACCTTTACCTAGTCTCACAGATAAATCCATAGGATAAACTCAGCCAAGAATTATAGTATTGCTTTCAAAAATGCCCAGTTAATTTTAAAATATAAAGGTCAGCAAATTGCTTCAAAAAGGTTAAGAGCTTACTGATTCGACAACTGTACTCTTAGAGGCTGAAACATATCAACAGCAATCTTAGAAGAATAGTTTATATATCTGCTTACCAGAAAATCACAATATAAGGTCTAGAAGACAGGGAAGAAACATGTGAGAACGCCTTGAGCTCAGCTGTTACTGGGCAGGCGGAGTACAAGGAATCCCCACCCCAGTCAAATGGCACACGGCAGTGCATTTCAAATGGTCTACGTAGCCCGCAGCCCACAGAGGTGCTGAAGAGGCAACTGGGAACTGTTGAAGTGGGGACCAAGCATGAGCTCCAGACCTCTTACCCCACATCCAACAAGAAGACAGCACCACCTCCCTCAATGTTTCATATGCTGGGGTTCTGCCAAATATCTAATTTTTAAAAAGGGAATTGGTCGGGGTGGGGGAGTTACTGCTTTTTAAATGTCTGAAAACCAGCAGCAAGGGCTTTAGAGTCAGGGAGACCAGAGTTCAAATTCTAGATTTGTTGAATTAGGAATAGACACAACCATGCCTGCCAAGGAATCAGTGCTCAACAAGTGGTAGAAAATATTACTTATCTATGAGTACTAAGAGGTATTAAAAGAGTGACCTCGAAATATACAACCAAGAACCCCATAACTATAATGTGACAGTACACAATGTTTACCTATCAGTTTATCCCTTAGCCAAATATAAAAATGCCCCTTATGAACACACTTTATCCCTTAAGTACTAAAGGAATGGCACCCAGGAACCCCCAAGAGCTTTCCATGCACCTATCATGAAAGGAAGGAGGCAGGGAGAGAGTGGCGGAGGAAGGAAGAAAAGGGGCAGAAAGAGGGGAGAAAAAGGGGAGGGAATCAGAGGGAGAAAAAGAGTGAAAGAGAAAAGAAACAACTCCAAAATATGAAAAGAAAATGACAAAATAAAAATTAATATATGCTTGTCACTACTAAGAATTATATTCAAGAATTTTGGTATTCATAAATATTTCATTATATGTTTAAATAATTTATGTTAGATTTTCTTCACAAAAATTACAAAGAATGTACAATGACTGCAGAGAAATCACAGCCAACTTCAAATTATGTGACATACTCAAAGGCAAAATTTCCAAAGACAAAAAAAATTTTTCAAGTGCTACAGCAATATACACATATACACACACAATGCATGATGTGAGCACATTAAATACAATGGATACACTGTGATGGGAGCTTCAACTAGTAAGAGGCCTAGACTCTTAAAATAGCTCTCTTCTGTGGTTTAAATTCCTTTCGGTCTTCCTCAAGTTGTGGCCATCGCCTGCGTCATTTCAGAGAGAAGTGATGACAGGAGCCAAGGATGAGACAGAGAAGAAGCAAATCCCCGTTGCCCTCTGTGACCCTCAGGCTTTCCAACAGATGCATTCACAACCCTGAAAGCACCCTTAGCACTCACTCATCAAGGCCATGGGCCACTACACAGCACCTCCCTCCCAGCATCACACCTGGACTAGCAGGAAGCTGCTGCGATACCGGGCCGGAGGAAAGGAGGCGTACCTGCTTTATTTTATTTCGGGAGTTGGTGATGCGCTCCGTGATGCTCTGGTATGTGCGAATAGCTGTTGTCAGTTCTGTATAGTGCTGTACAATCAGTTCATCCAGGTCACGGTCACATTTCTCATAGGCTTCTTCAAGGCGGCCCTTCTCATTTTCTCTGTCTTCAACATCATCACTGGTAGACAGAGTCCTGATAAAGAGAGAATATATCACAGTGAATCAAACTTAAAGCAAAAAGGGAAAGTCCAGCACAGGGAATATAGTCGATAATATTGTAATAGCTGTGTATGGTGCCAGGTGGGTCCTGGGAAAATCGGAGGGAGCATTCTGTAAAGTATATGATTGTCTAACCACTAAGCTGTTCACCTGAAACTAATACAAAATAATATTGAATGTCAACTATAATTGAAAAAAGGAAAAGAAAGACCAGATAGTCAATATGCTAGCCCATTCATCCTACTAACTAGGAAATAAAACAATTTACTAACAGAAAATAGGAAACCACCTTCACAGTAAATTCCAATACCCCGTCTAAATGGATTTGCTGGTTGCCTATCCAAGGAATCTTCCCCTCCCTTTTTCCTTGGCATACCAATTGTAATCCAGTAATAGGCAGCACGAACACTGCAAAAGTCTGGGCAGGTCTTGATTTGTTTGAATGAGTCCTGGTAATTCCATTCCCCTTACCAGTGACAAGTCTGGCCAATGAGACAAAGGACTTCTAGATATAGTTTACTTGCTAATCTTACAAGTAAGATTAAGAGGAAGCAGGCCCTTTCCCCAACATTGAATACTGTTATACAAAGCTGAGATACCCAAATAATTCAGCCATCTTACAACCATGGGAGGGAAAACTCGGAGAAATGCCAAGCTACTGCTAGGATGTCATTTGGCCACTAATGCAGCCTACTCTGCAATTGTCTTACCTCAGGATTTCTTGTTAGGGGAAATAATAAATATCCATTGTTTAAGTCACTTTCAGTTGGTAGTCTTTTACATATAGGTGAAAGTGTATTAACTGGTAAATTTACTCACACACTGAGAAGTCACCTTCCAAACAGCTTTTTTTTAATCCTCACCCGAGGATATATTTTTATTTCTTTTAGAGAGAGAGGAAGGGAGAGGGGGAGAGAAAGAGAGAGAGAAACATCAGTTGGTTGCTCCCCATACAAGCTCCGACCAAGGATCAAACCTGCAACCCTTCAGTGCATGGAACGACATACCAACCAAATGTGCCGCAACATCCAGGGCCCAAATAGCTTATTTAAATGACCTCAATTTGGTACAGAGCCCCCAGGAGCCTGGAAATAAGGTCATATTAATTCTAAAATCTGTTATGACAGCAATAATATGAGCTATACTGCAAGGCAGTCCCTGCACTTACTGTTCTTCCAACAGCACTAACAAGATTGATATGAATCAACAATAACCAGGGAATGAGATAGATACACTTATTAAAAATCTTTCAATAACTTAGTTTGATACATGGGCCACAGATCTTTGTTTCCTCTATTATTTTTCTTGGATAATTTTTTTTAATTTAGTGTTATAATCAGTAACAAAGAAACCTTTTTCTCTTATCTGTTGGCTGTGGTAATTTAGAGTTTCATTAAATTCCCTCAGATTTGTCAGCTTATACATTCAGCATAATTTATTTCATTTATCTTTTTTAATTTTGGGGGGTATTTTAGCTCTCAATGATGGATGCAATCAATTATAAGTCTATCATTAGAAGTGCTTTCAGAGATGGTCTGTCAGCAAATCAATCACATATCCACTCCTAGATATTTGCAAGCAAAATACTGTACAACAGGCTTCTCCAAACTGTCATTTAAACCAAAAGATCTTAATTCATGAGCCACATAATACATAAGACTTCTTTTTCAATTCAGAGGGAGATTCAGCAGGCCAGTCTCTGACTTCAACCTAACCTCCTATAATTTTACAAACGTGTTATGATGCCAAGAGATCTGATCTAGCATGAAATTGGGAGTGGGAATGGGGGGGGTAGAATGTAATGAAGGGAAAAGGTGATGCCTCTAAGGAATGTGGGGTATACTCAGGAAATCAACACACTGGTTCGGAACCCCAAGACTTGAAGAAAGGTCTTTCCCATGCCAGGTCCTGAGTCCTCTGTCAACTGGTGATACTCCTACCCACACTTAACAAGGTTACGTTCAGGTAGAGAAAACTATGCAAGAGTTTGACTGATAAAGTAAATCAGAGTAGAGAATTTAGGGAGAATTTGGTTCCAAACATAGAGCTACCAATATTACTTGAAATATTTGGGTACAGGGTAACTAAGTATGTCTTTCTGTTGTTTCTATGATATATAACTTTGCTCTTTAAATCTGAAACCTTCCAGGCTGTTAATCTAGAGTAAAGCACAATCAGAAAATGCCTTCAATTTATCAATTGTCCCAAAGGGAAGAGTTCCTAGATATTTAACTCTATTATTTCCCCTTGTAACAGCCAACAGCCACAGAATTTTCAAAGCCACACTGGATCAGTTTGCCGCTTTTATAATGCTGTGCATGATTTCCTCTCCACCACATTTGTGGAAGGAAACATGCCAGACATTCACATTGTTTACATTAAGCAGCAGCACTGCATAACCGCTAAGGAAAATGTCAGGCCCAGAGAGGACATCTTCCTGGGCATCAGCTGTCACTGTGGCACATTACCGGAGCATTAGGAGTTATTTAGAAAATAGAAAGGGTTACTAAAATAAAGATTGAAAAGTAAATTGGGTCTGTAGGGGTTTTGGCTATTTTCATTTTTAGAGAAAATATTTATATAAGGAAAGCAGCCTGTGCCAGGGCTGCCCCACACTGGAAATTCATCCTCTTGACGTAAACTGGGCTGAGTGACATTTTTCTTTAGTAAAAAATACTTACATTAGAGAACTCTGAGAGTAGAAACCATTCAAGTTTTTTTTTTTTTTTTTTTAATTAAAAGAAAGGAAGGCAGCAAGGATAAAAAATAGTAATAATAGCCGCTAATATTTAGAGAGGCTTACTAGCTACCAGGAACCAGCTGTGCTGCAGACTTGATAGAATGTATGTTTAATCCTCAAAGAACCCTGTGGAGTGGGTCCTATTGCTACCCTCCCTCCCCCTTTTAAAGATGTAGCAGCTGAGATCTGAAGAGGTTAATTTGCCCCATCTCGCACAATAAGGGAAGGAATAGAATAGTACAGGGATTCAAAACCCAGGTGGGTGTTTTCAGATTATGCTCCTAACCGGTATAGAGTCATGGGATCTGAAGTCAAACTGCCTGAGTTAGAATACACTTACTGCCCCTATAACCTTAGCAATGGTATCTCATTTTGCTCATCTATAATGTATACAATGGAGATAGTAAGTATACCTTCCTCGTAGGGTTGTTGGTTAGAATTAAATGAGATCTAACGAGGCCTGGCATATCATTAGCACTAAACAAATATGGGTTGTTGCTGCTAGCTACCATGGTTATAGTAGCAGCAGTCCTGGTAGCAATAGGAGAAGCAGTAAAGGCAGTAGCATTTTTCTACAATGTAATGGAAAGAACATCCTTTGGAGGCACAGGTTGAAATTTCATGACCCCCAAACACTAGAGCATTTGGCACTAGGCATGAGATTTAACATCTGACTCTCACTTTACTCCTTCTTAATGTCAAGAGCTGTGAAGAGTCTGAGATTTTTATCCTACTTACAAGCTAACAAGTTAGCCTGCCACAGTTTTATGGATGCTAGTAGAAGACACAAAACTCCCGGGCCAGAGACTAAGGACTTTATTACTCACAGCACAGCAAGTAGCATGAGCATCAGCGTATTAGTTCCATGCCCTTTCCCCCCAAAGTCCCATGGGGGTTAAGCAGATGGGCCCAAATGGATGCCTGCACACACTGTGAAAGAACCCTGAGCTTAGAAAGCCAAATCTTCTATACTAGACAGTAAGCATGCCTGCCCTCTGCTCTAGAGGAAGAGATTCTACTTCCAAAGATGCTTGCAAGCAAACATACTGACAAGACAGCCTAAAACAAAGGGCATTCAGTGCTTTGCTCCAAACTACTCTCAAAACATAACACTCCCAAGGAGAACTGTCTCCCATAATGAAACCTAATGCACTGGGTTTCTCCAAGGGGTCCATGATGTTAAGTAAATACAAATTCATTTCCAACCTCTGTTTTCATTTGAAATGTTTCATACAATGACTATTTGCAAAATGAATGAATGATAGACCATAAGAATAGACTAATTCCAGGGAGAAAGTTCCCAGGCATGCTGCCAACACCCAGCAATCTTCAGTGTAAAGTCATCTTACTTTAAGCCAGTCACTTGATCTGAGCTGGCAACAGGGTAGAAGAGAAAGCTGTCATCTAGGCCACTCCACCAGCCATGTCAGAACCTCTCCTCAGCCTTCTAAGCCTCCAGGAGATCGAGAGCTCACTAGCTCACAAAGCAATTCACTGCAATTATGAACAGCTCTCCTTATTAGAGAGTCTTTCATTAAAATGAAAATAAAATAATAAAATGAAATAAAATAAAATGCCTCTTCATAATGTCTACCCCTCGATCCTAGTTTCACCTTTTCCAATAACACAAAATAAGTCTATTCCCTCTTCCCTAAAGTTTCTCTTTAAATGGTAAAGGACTCTCAACTCTTCTTTCTTCCTCAGGTTAAACACCTCCAACTTCCTCAACTGTTTCTTCCACATCCTGGCTGCTTTTCTCTGAGGTCCCCTCAAAAGCAGTGAACACACAGAACTTACTCCATGCCTAAGTGATCAACACATAATAATTCATTTATTCCTGACAACAGTTATGAGGTAGGTGCCATTATTACCACTCTTTCTACCAATGAAGAGACTGAATTGCCTTTTCCAGGCACAGGGCTTGGCTGTCTGTGCCTGGTTCTTAAAAGACTCCTATCCTGCCTCTGAAGAGGAGCTACTCAGAACTGAACACAACATACTCTCAGTATGGTATGACCAGTCTAAATAGGAAGAGATTTCATAGCCCATTTAGGCACTACCTTAAAACTACACTGCATTTTTTTTTGTCAAGTCCAAAAGTTATCCATTATTCCTCTGACATTAAGTGCTAACAAGGCAGCTCTCACTCATCTCCTACTTGGGAAATTTTAAAATTAAGTACAGAAATGTACCTGCATTCCTGTGTCCTATATTTTCGGAAAGGGAGGTGGAAT